TTATCACTCATCACAGATGATAGATATGTATCTTCAATGACATATTGTCTAATTTGTTGCGCGTTTTTGGCAATACCTTTTAGAGATGATACACAAATACATACATATCTCGTTGAAATCCCTAGCTAATCTAAGTTAGATCATAATCGAAAACCTGCATTGCCACGTTTTTCTAGCACGACAGTTCTCAGTAATGCATATCGACGACTCCACACGCGAGAATCAAACTCTGGATCTGCAACCTCGAGACGAGACAACCATGCAGTACTTCCAGATTTTAAACGTTGATCTAGCTTAGATCAGTTGATGATTTCAATAATAAATCAACAACCTCCACAACCTTATACTGACATATTCATATCTGTTGGTTGAAAGTATAATTTGTAATCAGATAGTCGCTTTTATGATAATGGTGGCCGAAATGAAGTTTATGGTTTGGTCAACCAAACCATCCAGCTCAGAGAACAAAACTCCATCGAAATCATCCACCTGAGCTACAAATCTTCTCCACCATCTCATACTGAATTCAATTACATATTTACCATAGGATAAAGTACTTGCTTATGGGTGACATTTTTTAATGAATTAATAATTTATCTATCAAATTTCTTAGTCTATCAAACAAAGTAAAATATCCTAGTATCAACAGTATTTTAATTTTGCATGACAACCATCAACTAAGGATTGATTCATTTACATGTAATAAAGATGTTTCTAAGACTTACCAAAATTTACAATTAACAGCATTTGCAGAAGCCAATGTCATCAAGTCTTTCCTACTAGCTTGTATGTAAAAAACATAGGAGCAGTTGGCTACTATTTGCTTTAGTACCGTTAAACACACAATCTGATAGTGTAAAAAATACATATAAATCTCACTAGTGGTTTCCTCTCCAAATGAAGTGAAAATGGTAAAATTACTATGTTACATCATAAAAACTATTTGTACCAAACCATCTGACCACGAGTTCATATTTTATGCAAAGATAATCGAGATACATATCTTTAAAATGGTTAGACAGTGCCTTTCATTTAGAACTTAAGCAATCATTTGTTCAATGTAAAATAGATGAATTGATTTAAAAACCTGCTCGTAAAAGGCTATTAGTTTAGATCAGTGAATCAAGGGACAATATTATATTTTACACGCATCAGCAGATGTTCAGTACAAACATATTTAGTCTTAAATACTGACATGTCTAGAGTCATGAAAAAAAAAGTATAAGCTATAATAACTAGCAACAACAATAATAGTATCGAATAAAAAAACATTAATATATTATACTCATTGTGTTATATAAGAATTAAGGAAATACAGCGTCAATCGACATATAAATTATACAAAACTTTTTACCGACTTACAGAAACCAAAAACTCTTATTGAGTACGTTACCAAGCAACAGTTAAAGCACGCATTTGTCTTTTGTGAATCAAGAATTATGACAGTTAAAAATTCACTTCGCTATTTTATTGATAAACATATGCCACTAGAGTAAATGTTTATAAATATTGTATGCAATTTGAAAAACTGTAGCCTATTATACTTGTAAATTTCATACGTCTAGTTTATTGACGATAGATTTTATGCTATTCAAATGCTGAAATCTATTTTTCCTATAGAATCATAAATATCTAGAACCAGTCAGATTGTTGAATTGTAAAACCATTAATTCTCAACTATTCTAACAACTTATATTAATCAGATTTAACAAATAGTCATTTATAGTTTCTGACAACAAACTATGTAAAATAGTTCTACAGAACATGTTTCTAAGTTTTGCTACTTACAATACTTTCCTAAATGTATGGAACTGTTTATCAGTGACGTTCTTTGTTCGTAGTCCCATTTTGTATGAAGTTATCTTTCAACCAGGTATATTTAATTACTCATTATTGATTGACTGCTGTTAGTGAGTAAAAAATGGTTAAGTCGCTTCTCTACCTATTATACATTCATCATAACAAATCGAGATATGAAGTTTATAAAAACTATATTTCAACATTATTCCCAATATATAATACTCAAAAGTTCAAAGTAGCCTATTAAAAGATTGTTTGTATTCCAAATAATGATATTATTTAGTTCATATTTTATATGATAACAATTTTCCTTAAAACATTGATAAATGTTAAATTCACTTGATATTGTTTACTTGAGTCCTCTCATTGATGTTTAAGACTGCAATTGATAAACATTATGAGCAAAGATGGATAGTGGCTAACAGTGAACTCCAGGACGCACGTTTCGTCCTATTTAGGACTCGTCAGCTGGATATACCCGCATTCCGGAATTGATATTCACTATGGGACTCGAATCCAGTACCATTCGCTTCAAACGCCATCGCGTTATTCATTTACGTACTGAGTCCTGATAGTCAGTTGCTTGTGAAATGAGGTGAAGTTTAAATTCACTTGGTATTGTTTACTAGAATCTTCCCACTGATGTTTAGAATTACAATTGGTCAGTCTCTTATTGGCATATGTACATACTATGCGTATTGCCTTGATATTGTCTTAATTCACAAGCATCATAAGTAGAACAAACCAGATAAATGCGCGTAATTAAAAATTTGAATCATTTTTATGTAAATTGACAAGATGATAATCAGTCATGGGAATTATAAATATCCAATTAAGTTGAACAAAAATCTAGGTCATGACAAATCAAGTCATGTGTAAAAATTACTGTTTTTTTTTTATAAATGGAGTTATTTCAAGCAAATCAAAACAACTTTCCTATAATGTTCTCAACAAACACAGATAATATTTGTAATTTTAAAACAGAATAAGATCTCCGAAGTCATTTGAGTATAAAAATCAAATAATCATTTCCCTTTAAAAGAAGTTGAAATAAAGTGGGATCTAAAGAAGTGAACATTTTAAGTAGATTTATCTGTAAACAGTATGTTTAGTGGTTATATAACTTCTCAGTAAATAGAAGAACAATACATGTAATTAGAGAGTAGTTTTAGTTAATCAGTGATGGAAATTCATTATTCTGATTACAGAAATTCCACCACTCTCGTGTTTCGTTAACTATTTTGGAATATCGAAAATCGAGATCAGTTAACAGTGGGTGATAATTACTATTCTCTTATTATAGTTTTCACTTGCGTGGAGGTGATTCGTTAATGAAAGGTAAAAATTTAAAATATAAACTTACTAAGGAGTGGATTCTTTTAGATTATTCAGTAAGGCAGTGGATATCGATATTAGGCATCTCACGTGAATTCGTTTGTAACTCAAAATGTCGTGCAAATATTGTCATCGTCTACGTCTATACATCGGGAAGAATTAATTAAATTGTCTGTCTGAATCTGCATTGACATTTTAGTCGTCAAAGATTCATATCTTTTACTGTGTATATAAATATGTATTAAGTAATATAGATAAATCCAAAAATATGAAGGCTTTGACCCAAAATCTTCCGAAAGATTGACGTTTCACTATTTTAACAACATGACTTTGGACAAAGTGTTTTTGCCAACCAAATTATGATGACTAACTTATCTCAGACCTTACTAGAATACACCTCACTACTACTTCCCTTCTGAACGCTTGATTTCACTATTTAAAAGTTACTGATTATTTCAACTAATACTTTGATCACAAGGAAAATATTTCGAATTTCAGCAGGATTGCTGGTTTATTTGACGTTTGGTATTATAGAAACAATCAATATGATGTTTTCTGTCATATTGGAAATATCAGTTTTTTATCTTATTGATAAATCTTCTAATTGAACGCTAGGTTCTGTTTTCTAAGCTATTCTAGTAACACCTCCAGGCTAGTCTACACGGCCAGTTGAACATGAGAGAAAAGGCGAGAAATATGGAAGAAAAGCTTTATTCCAAGTTTTATTTATGTACAGAAAAATTTAGGGTACTTATAGCGTTTCAAGTGGCCTTGGGCTTCTGGAACGCTACTAGACATAGTAGCAGTATAAGTAATTATCCAAACAGAAACTCGACATGCGACTTCTCACTTTCTAGATGTTTCTGGAAAAGCTATCGTTTCTCAGAGCCCTATTTGGCTTTTCTAGGAATTTTCTGAGTCTCTCCACCACTTATCTATAAGTATGCAGACGTTATTGAAAGGAAAATATTAGTTAGTCAATAAATAGATCGTTTCACCAATTAATATCAGCTTTCAAAAAGTTCGAGAACTAAGTTCTAATTTGCTAAGGCGGTTGATGTCGTAAGTCAGACCATATCTATATACATAGAAACTGAAAGTCAACAATATTATTCTCACTCTGATAATCACATTGAGATGTGGGTTACTTATATTCACATAAGTAGTACATAACGGTGGTCAGGTATAGAATGTATTTCAGTAGAAGATCCATAAGGAAAGAACGGAAACCGTACGCGATTGGTATGGAAATGCATGAACAATGAAATGGACTGATATTTGCAAAAGGAACAGTCATGTTTGAGATGATGGATTGATATTTTGCAAATTAACTATATACTATATGGTTCTCAGATTTTAGTAATTTGCTCCGTAATTTCGTGTCAAATACATTCGATTGTCCCCACTCATGTTCTTGTTCACTACAATATCGCTTAGTAGTTATATAGTACACGGATACTATCATCTCAGTATTGGGTATTATAATTTTCCAAGTTTAATACATCTAATCTTTTAGTGCAAGGTTAATATGTTAATCACTTATAAATAATAAAGATTTTAACTTTTAGTAAATATATCACCTGTAACTACTTCTAACTTAAACTGTTTGTTATACTTACTAGGTCGACAAACCTACAATTACATTGTCTTCAGCTTTAACCAATAACATTTTAGTTAACTCAATAAGCGTAGGAGTGAACATTTCAATTTTCCAGGTCGTAAATAACATTTTTGTAATAAATAAACTCATTCATGTTACACTTATTACTCCTAATAGACAAAAGTAGGCTTCAAACATAAAGCGAGATCATCAACAACCATGAGCACTGTGTTAATTATTTGTTTATTTTACATATTATTATTATTGCGTCTAACACTTGGCTGTTTATTAAAATTATTAATAACGTAAGAACTCTTGAAGAATATAATAAAATAAGATCATCAGAACTATTATTGTCTATGTATTCATTGGTTTATTATTAAGATAAAGTAAACAGAAATTTCGAAAATCCCAGTAAGATTTGGTACCGCTAACCCTGAAATGAAATTTATTCTTAATATCCTTTGAAAATAGATTGAATTAACTTGACCTAAGAAAGTTTCAATATATTCATATAAAACATGAAATTAGGAAATGATAAAATATGAAGAAAAAATACGGGAAATTGATTTAATTTTTGAATTCATGAATCAATTGAAGCTATACCACCATCGAAAGCCTGGAAGTACTGGACAGCCGTCTCGTCCTAGTATGGGACTCTTCAGTGGTGCTCATCCATGATCCCATCTCGCGAGATTTGAATCCACGTCCTATCAGTCTTGCAAACAAGCGTCCAACCATTAGAACACTGAGTCGTCTATACACTAAGACGAAACGGCCGTCCAGTGCTTCCAGGTTTTCCATGGTGGTCTAGCTTCAATTGACTCATTAATTCAACGAACAAATGATTAATTAATGTTTTAAGACAGTTTATCAATGAATATTTAAGAAGTCCTGTAATAAAATATCAGGATAAGTTCACTTGGTATTGTTTGGCATGTATCTTCCCATTGAGGTTTAAGACTGCAATTGATCAGTCTGTTATCGGCATATGTGCATACTGTGCGTATGCCTCGATATTGCCTTAAGTCACAAGCTTTTTGTAAGCAATGATTGATAATTATTTCAAAAAAAAAGAAAACAATGATAATAAAAATCATAAAATATGTGAATCTTCTTTTGCATGAAAAGAAACATAATAACGTCTACTTAACCAACAGACCTTAAGAACTTTCAACCAACGAATAAAAGATGACAACGGAACCAAAAGAAAATACTTTCTAAGAGTATTTAAATTAATATATAAATTTAATAAACAACTATGTTGTTTTAAGAGATAACCATTAAAATAATTTAATATATTTGATTTTAGGTTGGAAATGTAAACACTGATGAGGACTTCATAAATGTTTTTTCTCAAGTTGTGGTGCTCGTTGATCTCAGTAAGAGATAACAGATTATTAAAGATTCCCATTGTGAAAATTAGAACAACACATATAAGCGAACAATTGTTTTCAATTAGATCGTCATCAGGCTTTACTCTAATATACATGGATATTTATACGAAAATTTTAAACCAATCAAGGCAATATGAGTCAATAATCACAATGAAATAGAATAAGTCACTACACATAAAATAGGTAAAAGTACAAGTTGATAGTACGAAGACAGGTGAACAGATAGTGGTAAGAATAATAAACTATAATAACAAAACTCTTATCAATAGTTAATCGTTGGAAATAGAAGGTCAAATAAACATGGGTAAATAGACTAGGAATAGTAATCACAAAACCTTAAAAATCATTACGTAATAAGATGTGTGTAAATAACAGATTGACCGAATTTGTAATAACTAACTTACGATGGAACATATCCGAGTTCTGAATTTAGTTCCATAGGACAGTACTGTTAAAGGATTTACAGAATAACATAGTTTCGATGTTCAAAACTTAAAAAGTTCTCAATATTCATCTGGATTGGATTAGATAAAAATTAGATAAAATTTATTATTAAAAATCCTATTTACTTCAGGATGAAGACATTTGTTTTTGGAGACATTGCGGAGAAGTTTAACAAAATCAACCATAGAAAACTCAGCAATATGTCTAAAGTAATAATAAGTTTAGTAACCAAGGTTACAATTTTCATTCACAGTAATTTATTTGTATCAGCATCATTTTATGAATTCAAGATAGAACAAAATAAAAAGCCCACTTCATTCTTAAAACTTCAGTCAATTATCCGTCATCTAATTTTCTTCAACAACAAAAAAAATTGAAAACGCACAAACAACTTGTATTTTTGCACAAAATAGTATTCTGTAAGGAAATTTACAAAATTAAAAAGGTATTTACAAATGATGGAAAATTGTTTGTATATATTTATCTTTTATTCTCTGTTCCTGTAGCTTGAATGATATAAATAAATCACGAGACAAATATAGACGATGTATCCCATATGGTAATTAACTGCTCTTGAAAAACCAATACTAATAACGATTGTGATTTATAAAGTCATTGTGAATAGTTACAGCATTTTATTGCCATTCTCCATTTGATCTAGTTCGATAACATAAATATTTCCCAAATAACCATTGTATTTTTGTACATTATCAATTGAAAACACTTTGTTTGGTATATGCACAACTACACCAATGACATTGTCTAAATGACAATTTACTAACTTTTGTGCATTGAGGCCCGATCCCTGAAGAGAAAGCAAGTTTTGCATAAATGAGTATAAGTAAAAATTTTGAGAGAATTTTAATAGACTACTTAATTGAAAAATTTCATCAAAAAAGATTGCTTTTACTACAAACAAATTAAAAATTAAGCTGAAGACAATTACTAGCATGGTACTATACACTTTAGCATCACATACTCTTATCTGAGTATCTGTTAGGTTCTTTATATTAGATAATATAGGGACATTCCTTTTAATGAACAAAAAGTACAGGTCGATTTGTCAGACCATTATTAGTGCTAATTGATAAAGTCATATATAATCATTATATTACGTGAAAAGCATCTATTTAGGTACTTGGAAAGATTTCTATCAATAAAAATCATTGTGCTACATAAAATTACAGAAGATAGTGATGAACAAGAAGCCAACAAGTAAGTCCTACAGATGCAATTTTAAAACTTTTCGAGTAATATGTGAATTAACTATGAAGTATTACAGCAATAGAGTTTACAACATAAAAACTCATGTGACTCTAATTTATAAGAAGCCAGTAGTATGATTCTATTCTTTATGTTACCATAGCCCCCAAATGCCCTGGTACGGCCGAGAGTGGGGAGAGTCCACTCTCCCTCTCGAAATGCTCTCACATGGCCACGCGTATATAGCCTCTGGCAGGGAAGTCCTACTCACTGCCTTCTCGTAGCATCACTGTTGTTTACGAAATTGAGAGGACGAAAAGCGAATGTCCGGCGCTTTAACCTGTTTGGTGGACACGGAGAGTCTACCTAGAGGAGTTGGAGAACCCTCATTTCAAACCAATGGTGCACATGAGCTCCAGGATTCTGAGGGAACAAATGGCGTATGAACCAATCGTCGGTCACCGGCTACCATGGGACTGCATCTCCTTACGTTGCTCCACTGCTTTGTGGATCAGACCTTTGGGTTGGAGGCTCCGGGTGTTGTCTCCTAAGAAAACCACCTGCTTCGGTTTGGGCACCCAAGCAGTATCACAGCCCTCATACATATCAAATGAGATTTGTGTGGCGCATATATGTTTGGTGTCTCCTTGTACCAATATCTATGTATTAAAATAAAAATAAATAAAAATGGTGCCATCAATAGTATTACTTATGGCTGAGACATAATTATTATTTCTGTAAAATTATTTATTTAGTTATCTTCTATAATCTTTAAAAAATTATCCTTCAATAATAATATTACAAAGGAAAGTGTAGAGACCTTCATGGGATATCCCACTCAGAAATTGTAAGATTTGACCAATAATAAACAAGGGGAAAGCATTGAATTTAATAATATTTGGAATTTAGTTAATTCGAAGATAATTCTAAACAACAACTGAAATCTGTCAAACAAACATGACTGGAAATTACTTTGTTCAACCTTAAAACACTAGTACTAAGTATTTGTGAACTTAACTAAAAATATTCAGTGAAACAATAAATTTAGAATCTTATTACTCTGATAACAATAATTAATGGTTGAAGAGAAACATTTCTTCCATACAAAGATTACACCACAACTGAATAAGTTTCCTCTCAAATTACTTTAGCGGATTAGAACTTTAAAAGAAACTTCTTAATTTGAAGTTATTCTCCGAAATTCAGACATTTTTGAAAAGTATACTATCCAATGATTATTATTATAAGATTATAAGATTACATCACTTGGTGAAAAAAACACGTGTTATATATAGAAGAAACTGAATGAACTTGTTTTGTACACTTAGAGCTTTACATTTTAGGATGGACACCCTAATCTTCATTAAATAAATATAGGTTTGATGATTAAAAGCGATTTTATCAACGATGATTCGAAACATTAACATAGTATCGTACACCAATATTTGATGTTAGAATCTCTAAGAGACAATGTTCCTGGTTATGAACAGAGTTAACACTAAGACGAAAAGATTTATAAAAGTAGTGAAACAGTTACGGTTAAATAAGATGTCAACAGTGCAAGTGTAATTTTAAAATTCTACTCGTATGGTTTCTTGTGGTAACAAATCAGAATTGGTTTTTAATTAACTTGACTATATCTCACTTGAATCAATTGAACTCGTGAACTGATGTGACTATGTGAATCAATGGGCTGAAATGATAAGCGATGTAGGTTTTAAACTTTAAGAAAGATATTGTCTTTCTTGAGGTTGCTGATATATATATATATATATATATATATATATATATATATATATATATGACAAGGATCGTCAGCAATGCTTGTCAATTACTCAATATTAATTAACTATTTACTATTAGCTGACATCTGTATAAATTATTAGAAGCAAATAAGATATATCAATAGGATACCTTCAACAAATTTGATTGTGTTACATTGAGTAATTTGCAAAGTCTCCAAGAGGCCATCTGAAAGTAAAGTTTAGCATAAAAAGTAAGTATATAAAGGGGAACGATGATGATAATAATAAATGGAAGCATAAGATGGAAATTTCACACAAATATACAAAATAATGCAGCAGTAAAAAATCAACACCGATTTACTGTATAATAGAAAGTTGTTATAACTTCGTAAATCTAATTAGTCAGTCAGTCATAAGCAAAGTAGAACCTAGTACATATGTTTATCGATTTAAATCGCCACACTATGTCAGAACAGTAAGACACAACTATCAAGACAAATTCGGAGTAGTAAAAATAGTAACAAAATCAATGGTAGTAAAAAAGAATAGGCATAAATATGGTTCAATAAGGAAGAGTGATCATGCAAAATAAGGATTATATTCATCATTAGAAACATAATTTTGGAACTCATGATTTAAGGGGGGGACAAAGACTGAGTGCATATGAGCTACGATGATTGATTCCGAGCTATTTCATCCAATATATTCAACCACTGATTAACAGTAAAGGTGTGAGCCATAATCAAGTAAATCTGTACCTGCCAACACGGCTTAATCTAACAATACGACTTAAACAGAATGCCTAATAAATTGAAAGGAACAATGTATTATATCTATAATTTTTAAGTCAATGTCTTAAAATGTACAGATACCTATAAATATAACTTTATATATATATATATATATATATATATATATATATATCCAAAACATAGTTCTTAAGTACGAGATGAAACGGGTAACTGTCAATGAATATGAGTAATATTACTAGGCGTTCCAATTTTTCAGTATTTTTACTACAACTAATACTGATACCACCAATACTACTACTGCATCAATAAAGATATTATTAGTAACTTAGGAAACTACTCATTTCCCGCAAATAAAATACAGACCGACTTCCGTGTTACTTTCAGAGAAAAGACGCTGACCAAAAATGAGGAGAAAAATAAGATAAAGAAAACCATCAGTATTATTCTAAATTTGACAGTTCTACAGACAGATGATAATTATAAAAATGAAATAGAGCCATTTAAATTCACAAAACCTAATTTTATGTTTGGATGCCGACTAATTTTTGTATCTCGTGAAATAGCGAATTGACATAGAGAAAAGATAATTTCAGGAAATCTATAAATGTCGACTCCATTAATTTAATTAATTACTTAGATCATATACAAAATAAAAATAAAACTGCAAAGAATAACCAAGAAGTGAATAAAGTATTCAACTTTTAGTCACTGGATCTCAAGTTTTAATCTATTTTGTTTTGAGTAATTGGACAGTTAGCACATTTCAGCTAAAAGTCAACTACATAACTATATATATTTAGTCACAGGTCTTTCTTAAATGAAATTCGTGTTTCAACATTTATTAATTTTACTTATTGTTCAAACTGTTGTTTATGTACCCGGAAGCTATCAAGCATCGACCATATCTTCGGGTTGAGTACATGAATCTGTACTTAGTTACAGTATTACACTAATAAGCTAAGAAAACAACTAATGATTACTTACATTTAGTGTCAATTCTACAGACGATTTATGTCTTTTCAATTTATCAACAGTGGATTGATCGTTGTCAAAATTAATTAAAACTTGTACTTCTGTTTCCAATCGTTCAAGAGGATTTGATAAAAGCGCTAAACATCGGACACATTTCAAATTTTCTTGTTTAGAAAAATATTTGACTTTATTATCAACACCAGAATATATTTCAAAATCAGCGCATGCACAATAAGGACAAATAGACCAAACATGTGATCGACTTGTATCTACATGGATCAATGTACCTGCATAATTTATCAACATATTATAATGATAATGAAAATATGATAATAAAAACTGAAAAAAATTCACGTAGGAGGCAATGAAACTTTAAGATTAGAAATATTCATGAATAATAAATGATAATTATTAATCGGCATTGATTTTTGTTCTAATCGATAACAGATATGTGTAGAGAATGGAAAAGGGAAGACTAAAACAGTATCACAACGGTTAAGTTCTTACTGAGAAAACAACTACTATCATTACTATCATAACAAACTACTGTAACCATAATATTAGAATTGAATTGTCTATTAGAAGCTTAGGAATACATAAGCAAATGGTAATTCTGTAAACAAATAGAAGAATAAGAAAGTATCGATTAGAAAACACGCTGTAGTTTAGCACAATTTATTATAAGGCAAATATTGAACGGCGGCCTGCTTGAATATCTGGGCTACCTGTTTCTGCCATCTAATTGTTTCAACAAGTTATGTTTTTTTCATTTTGTTTTAACGTCTCATTATGTCCATTAGTCGCATAACCTATTCAGGCGTGTTTATGAAAAGCATACGACCTTTCGCTGCACAAGTTACAAAGAAGTACAACAAAAGACATCATGGTGGTTGGCAATATGCGTTGAAGAGAATGACATTATTCGTATGTCGATCCTGGAGCTTTTAAATTCTAACTGCCAATCACTAGTTAACAACGTGGACTATCTTCAATTCCTACTAAGTCAAAATATGTATCATAATTGTGGTGTCATCACAATTCAAGAATATTGGTTAAGTGATTTATAGAACGACTGCCTAGTATCACTACTTGGTTTCAAAATTTGTTGTCAGGATCGATCAAACAATAAAAAGAGGTGTGGCGGCGGTGTAACTACATTTGTAAACGTGAACTGGTGTCGATGTGCGTTTGCGTGTTTGAAGTTTTCAAATGACTTTATCGACTAACTCTAAGATGCAGTCCAAACATCTGAATAAATACAAATATGTTTATGTTACCAGACTGCACATCATCTGCGCTATCTGTTTTCGCTGATGAATTCACTGAGTTCGCTGTTACTGCCTTCATCAATTCACTACCAGTTGTATGTGGTGACTTCAATTAATGTGACTGTAGCTTCCTTACGTCACTAGGTCACCAAAATGTAGTAGATTTTCCTACTCGTTTGGATGCTCATTTAAACTTTGTTCTCATTAATGATGTGGGTGACTCGTAAACGTGCTCCATTGTCTAGCTCGGATCACTGTATAATTCGTGTTCTACATAAAGTATATGGAAAGCATGAGAAGAGTACACTCTTACATCAAATATAGGAATTACTCAGAAGAAAATATCCGAAATCTGAAAAACATGTTTCATACGACTAACTGGGAATTATTTACAGATAAAACACTGGAAATCACTACTGATGTTATCATTTGTTAGCTTAAATTCTGTTTTGATATTTGCTGTCCCACTGAAACCATTTTTGTAAGTTTTGATCGACTTACATCTTCACAACTAAAACGACGACGTAGGGTGAAAGAAAGAATGTACGAGGAGAAAAACTCTAGTAAAGTTCGTAAGCTAAATGACCTAATAGACCTAGAGAACTTTATGTTTACTCAAAAACTCGTGTCTTGTAAAAACTATTCAAGTATGTGGAAACTCTATAAAGAACTTACAGGTGACAAACACATTAGGAGCGATAACCAGCTGAATGTTTGTGACTTAAATAAGTCTTTTGTACGTCAGTCATCTGATGTAATGCTCCCTTCATCCACAGGTTTAAAGAATGGCCGTGTTCCTAGTTTCACTGAAACTGATGTACGAGGATGTCTCCAGTTACTTAATTCATCCCGATGATTAGGACCTGATGGTATCCCAAACCTCCTTTTTAAAAAGTGTGCTGACGTCCTATGTTATTCATTCACGACTATCCTTAACAGATCCTTCTCGTCTAATCTCATACCGAAAATGTGGAGAAAGATGAAGATAATCCCTGTATCAAAGAGAGTATCTGGTGATAAGAATGTGAAATCTAGACCTATTGTAATAACTTCACCTTTCCTCAAAACAATGGAGAAATTATTTATACTTCCACTCCCATCTTCGATAAATAAGCACACTGATCCGTATCAGTTTGCTTACAGATGCAAAAGAAGCACCTTAGATGCTGTTGCTGTGCTGCATCACAATATAGTGTTCAACTTAGAAAAGGGTAAGAAGTATGTTCGATGCGCTTTTCTGGACTATACTTCAGCTTTTGATTTTATACCAAGACAACGTTTACTTAACAAGTTAATCAGCCTCAACACTGACAGCTGGATAACAAACTGGTTATGTTCCTACCTCTCTGGAAGGGTACAGTACACTGTATTTGGAGGAAAGTGTTCAGATTCTCTACTGTCTCACCAAGGTGTACCACAAGGAGCTGTTCTTTCACCTCTTCTTTTCGCTTTTTTTCTGCATGATCTGCCATCTTCCACAGAAAACACCTTTGTGAAATATGCGGATGATCTCACTGTATGTATGCCTATCTCTTCCTCTTTACACTCCATAGAAAGGGATGAGTTTTTGTCTTGTATTGATTGTTGATCTGTTGGTAATGGTCTTATACTTAATCCATTTAAATGTCTATGTATGTTCATTAAAACAAACGTATAGGAAGATGGTAATATAACATCCATAAACATTGAAACGATTTTACTCTAAAATGTATCGAATATCAAGACATTAGTAATTTCTTTTTAATATGTACAGAATTTAGTTTTCAAGAATCAGTATGCCTATATACCTAAGAACATGGATAAAGATAAAGAATCTTAGTTAGTGAAGCATATAATTAAATAAGCCATAGTGTAAGACACTGACAGCCCGAAGATGCGATTTAACGTATGATTTTAGAAGATCTCATATACTATATTCCGCAAGGTTGAATATTGAAGTCTACCTATATACGGGGTAGGAAATGGGAGGAAACTTGGCGAAACGAAGTTAAACAATCAAAGAGAAAAGGAAGTAGTTAATAAAAATAAGAATGATGTTGGGGGTGTGTATGTAAAGTGAATGAGATTTTCTCAAATTGATCCTGTTTGGAAGTAAGGGGAAGTTAGAAAAATCGACCACTAATTCTTTGCGTGTATTGACAATTACATGAAATTTAAAAAAGAACAGGGTTAAGAGCAAAAAGGAAACATAAATATTCCTACCTGAAAAACTAACAATTTGATGAACACGTAACTTATTCACATCTTCAAGTGACTGTAATAAAATATAGTTGGAATAAATCTGTTTGGAGAGAGAATTTTTTAAAGCATACATCGATGAAGAATGTTGAGAATAATTCTCAGTCTTAAGTGACGTAAAACGATCTAGAAGAATGAAACCTATATGAAAAAGAGAATAATAAAAATTCTCATAGTTTATAAATTTAAGTTACACAAATAAAAATAAAATTATTCGTATTAAGTGATCTAAGGGGTTCCTACATGTTCCTTTTTATATCATTTAAAATGTTGACAAGGTTTGTTTTTAGCAAAGTATACGACGATTTCTTCTGAAAATATCACCATCAGAACCATTGAGATCATTTGCTTTCCGATGATGACATTATCTTTCGGTTTGTAATGCTCTACATTTAACCAAGGCGAACTGAGCAAAAGTTTGATTAAACATTATCATTAAAAAATGTGATATTAAAGTCCGGAAGAATATATTCAATCATTTAAATGTGTAGTTAATTTCCATCTTATAAAGTACCAGGGAATTATTTTAGTAAACGAAAGGCAACGTCGTAAGACGATTTTTAATTCTCATACCGAACAAAATCTATATTTGTAACAATTGATGTATATATGTAAACAAGTTTATTACATAAGAACGTGTAAGTTGGATACGATAAACAGGGATTTATTTAGACATCGCAGGACTTTCACTGCATGGACATTTGGTGGTCTTTGGACGATTCTATGTTTATTTTCTTTTATACTACATGCATGTATGGCACGCCTATTTTAATAAATGAGGATTAGTCAGTTGTTTATACAGTCTGATAGTCTTTTACCAAGATTAGAGTGGTGGCTATACACATCTGAACAAGTTGTTTGATCACACTCAATTCTATGAGTAATCACAGAATGTAAGAATCCCATCGACAGACAGTAAGTATACAATCTTTTCCAACTAAAGAGCATCGTAAAGTCAATATTTTTAAATATAATCTACAAATAATCTGTTAGAATGTAAGGTAAATATGAGAGCCTTATTCCACACTCATCTCATTATCATTTTAGGTTTCGAGTTTGTAAATGTTCCTTACGATGTATGATTATGGTCATTCGATAAAGTGAATAATAACCAACAGTTTTGTAAAATATGGTAATTCATTTAACTGAACGGATATTATTGTTGGTATTCTCCTCCATCTTTATCGAGATAAATCCATTGCTACTTCTTCGACCTTTTATCTGGTATCAGTCAGCACATTCTAATAAAGTTTGTGACATACATATTTTCCACTACAAAATAGAAAACAAATTTGTGCTACATGTACTCCTACTTCGAAAGATAGTTCATGTTATCAATCACTTATCACCTACGGTTACATCAAACATAACATGCAAAATCACTAATTACTTATTGGTAGATCATGGTAATATCAAAACGCTATACTTAAAATAGATTAAAGACTTTGCACGTTACAAAATGTAAATATCATCAAGTGTTATGAATTGGAATTTTATGATTCGATGGGAAAATTTCGAATTTTTACAATGGATAAAATAAAATATCAATAGATAAATGAACGCAATAATACGATATAGCAAATCAATGTTCACGAGGCACAATTAATGATTCCAATCCTTAAGTGAACTGAGCTAATAGACAAGAAAGATCACTAGTCAAAAGAATAGACTATTTTTTATCAAATGATTAACACATAAATAAACATTATAACGATACAATAAATAATGCAAGATAGTAGTAGCGTGATACCGTGAAGAAAAATTACATTATATATATATGTATAAAGTCGAGACTACTTAATATAACTTACTATCAAAAAATAATCCTTGATCAATGATTATATAAACACCAAATCCAGTAGTAGATAAAAAATTTGATGTTGAAGAGATAGCAAATAATTGTTCGTAAATTAACTCTATAGGTGAAGTAACATCGACTAAACAAATACATGGAATTAATGTTGATGTAACAGATTCAGAAATCCATAAGTAAAATGTTCGTGTAGATTTTTGTTCATTAGTAAATATATTTAGATTTTTTAAAGAACATTTCAATTTTTTACTTTCATGATTATACAAATCGAAAATAACATCTTTGACAAGTGAACCTTCTGCTGGCTAATGAAGACAAAATAGCAGATAATATATATAAATACAAATATATATATATATATATATATATATATATATATATATATATATATATATATATATATATATATATATATATATATGAATTAGAATACAATTGATTCGTTTGTGTAAATAAACATATTAAATAAATAGTCATTTCAGATAATATTGGTCACGACACAATATTAGTTGAATAAACCATAGGATAGTTTTGTTCGAACTAAATATGGAATATTCATATTTAAGATTAAACCTTAAAATAGTTGATTCTCAATAGTATCCAAATGATAAGTTTATATATTCCTATTTCACACTATTTGTGATACAAGTAGGTTACAATAGATTTTGAATTAGTATTTGACTGGTATTAAAACATTAAGAAAAAAAATCGTCTACTCAAGTTCATGTAAGATAGTAGACAATTCTCAATGTTTTTGATTGAGATCATGAACCGATTGATGTTAGACCGCTATTGAAAACCTGAAAGCACTGGACAGCCGTTTCGTCCTATTGTGGGACTCTTCATGATCTCAATGAAAAGCTTGACAATCTCCATAACCCCTAAGCTGATAATTACCATGTGTTCACTAGTGACTAGCTTCGTGAGAAAATTCTCGGAATTCTAGTGAGAAGCCGTGACCAGTGGAGCTAATCCGTGTCGGGTAAAAATAGGTGTCTGCATCAGTACAATGGAAGATGGTCGCACAACTTCGTGGATTGGTTGAGGTTAGACATTAACACCATTGGATGCCGACTCAGTGGTCCAGTAGGTTAAGCGTCTGCGCGCGAGACTGAAGGCCCTGGGTTCGAATCGCACGAGCGGGATCGTGGATGCGCACTGCTCAGGAGTCCCAAATAGGACGAAACGGCTGTCCAGTGCTTCCAGGTTTTCAATGGTGGTCTAACACCAATCGGTTCATGATCTCAATCAAAAACTTAACAATCTCCACAACCCATAAACTGATCATTCTCAATGTGCTTAATTAATTAACTAATGATAACCGCTTTATATTTATTGAGAAATGTAAAAAATCAACATAATATATGATAGAATTTCATAATGTTGGTAATGTGCAAATTCTCTACAATCAATGATCAAACGTAATTAACTGTAAAAATTTCATTGACGCAAATTTTAGTTATTTTTCTGGTAATAATATTTTGCTTTTGCTTTTCATCATTGCTGTGTATAAAATCTTTGATATCATGTAAACAATTTACTTAAGTTTCAGTGTTATCTTTGTTGTTAAAACAAACAATGTGAACAAATTTATATATAATAGTTTTATGAGAAAGGGTTTTGTGGAGATTGTATTAATCTCAATAGTTGAGATCATGAGTCAACTGAAGTTAGGCCATCATGGAAAACCTGGACGGCAGATTCCTCTTATTATGGGACTCCTCAGCGGTGGGCATCCACGATCCCCAGCGAAGTTTAACCGGGTCCGTTGTGGGATTGTAACTCACTGATGACAATGGTGGATGTGTCGCCCAATTTCGTGAACTAGTTGAAGTTAGACATTAACACCGTTGAATGCTGGCTCAGTAGTCTAATGGTTAGGCGCTCGCGCGTGGGACTGATAGGTTCTGGGTTCGGATCCCGCGAGGCGAGGTCGTGGGTGCGCACTACTGAGGAATCCCACAAAAGGATGAAACAGCCGTCCAGCGCTTCCAGGTTTTCCGTGGTGGTCTAGCTTCGATCGACTCATGAATGTAACTATTACATTACTATAATATCCACAAAACCCCTCTCTGATAATTGTTTATTAATTACCTGTTATATATTGTAGTAAATATTAATAAACTAGTTCAAAAACCCGACAAATTCAAGTTTATTACTATATGGATAGTATGAACATGAGTGTTGTAATTTTCCTAAAGTGCTAATGAGAAGTCGTGATTGTTCGAATTCAAACACATTGGGAGTAAAACAGTAGTTACCAGTGGCAATAAATGATCATACAGTATCGCAAATAGACGGCTGTCTAGTGCTTCCAGGTTTCCCAGGGTGGTCTAGCTTCAATTGACTCATGATTTCAACTATTGAAATAGTTTTATGTTTATTAAATAGTTCTTTTGTAAATTTAATACTTCCCATAATCAACATTTTAACTATTTTTCAGGATTAGATAAGGCTGAATGTGAGTTTTCTTTTTTATTGTTTATGAAAGTCGTTATATTAATAAATAGTCACATTCACTTGTGATACATTACATAATCTATCATTTTACAAGTAATTCACAAATATATCAGTATTGATATTTCAAAGGGAAATGAAAAATTCTGAATTACACTGATGAGCAAAATGTTGAATTTATTTTACGTTGATTTACAGAAAGTTTTATAAATATAATTTTCTTCTTAATGTATTACATTAACTCGACCCCAAGTACTGAGCAACTAATCGTTCAGAAAAACGTCCTTATAGATTTATCAATACTACTTTTTATAAGAACTAAACTTTAACGGCGGACAGTGTTCAAATCTTATCTTTTTTTTCTTAAATTCTATGCATCATTTACGTATTTCAAAAGAAAGAAACGTCGATCTATGAAAAAAAAAACATCCACAATACTTGTAAGAGTCTATTACTTTTTTTCGTGTTTTCACATTATTAATTGTTAATCAGATTAATAATTAAAAACGAACAGGTAGTTTTTCGGTTGATTCAATTCAAAATGATTTTCAAAGATATTACCAAGGCAATAGATTCCAAAACAAAATTCTATGCATATATTCTCAAATGAATACTTGTCAGCTAAATGATACAAGTGATTGACTTGAAGACATAAACAAAATACATATCAAGTTAAAGAATAAAGAAGAGTTACCCACGACAATAATGAAGAGCATTAAATACTCTTCATTTTTAAAAAAAGCAAACATAATAAATACATCAAAAAATCTTGTAGTAACCTCCCACATTCACTCATAATTGTTCCTAACTGAGCTGGTTTAATGCTCAAATTTCAGTAGTACATTAGATGTGTTACTTAATATCCCATTAATTACTGTACATTAACACAGATTATTTATCGATGTACATTTTTATTGGATACGTGTTAATGTGTATCTGTTTGCTTATTTATTTATTCCATTAAATTTATAGATTTATAAACAGATTTATTCACTAGTACAGTTTACCTGCTGAACTGTATGTATGAGATATCACTTTCCCAAAATATTTCTTATCCGACTAATTTATATGGCATTTTTAACTAAACCTACTTACACAATGTGATGTTTCAGAAGTTAACTCAGAACTTTTAGTCTAGAAATTAAATGAGGATTTAAAATTATCAAAGTTATTTTGGACTACAGAGAGAGTTATTGCTGGAAATGTTCACAAGAAAAATAAAGTAAAAATTCATTAAGAGAAAATTCTAAATCACAAATTAGTATTTCTATTTGTAATCTGTATATTAATTGCACAGATTATGAGCTATGAGAAACATTTAGTGCATTGTAAAATCAACAAAATTTTTTCGGATCACATTTTAAGACAAAATGTCATATTTTCAGACGATGTACGTCTGACCATTAGGTTTTACTTTCACAAATACGTTTGGATGGTAGCGATATGGCATGATAAATAATTATGTAGTGTCTCTGAAAAAAACAGTGGTTCTCATGAGAAAGTTCACTTTTGATTCAGCTAGCTTTATAGCTGAAAAACTAGCGAAAGAATAATCAAAAATCAAGTTAAAAGTCAGTACGAAATGATACACACAAGATGCTTCATGGACCAACTTATCATAAACATAAATGTGACACATTGGAAATATTAGCAGGCTGGTCATTTAAAATAAGTTTATTAAGAAATAACAAATAAGGGGAGAAAAGTAATCCAATGAAAATAAATTTATCAAACCATACATTTGGAGTTGTCTGAAATTAACGAAAAGAAGAATATAAAAGAAAAACCTACAACGACACATCATATCGATTGTATGCAACGAAAGATGGTCACACAGTATCGCGAACTGATTCAAGTTAGATATACACTAATATCAGTTCGTGGTGTGAACTGTAGAAAGAAATTCAATGATATCCACAAAGCCTCAATACTAAAAATAAAAGAATAAAAATATACATACCTCAAATACTAAGTAACCACTGATCGAACAGCGCGTATAGTTACCCAGATTAATCTATAAAATGAAAAATGAGGGTCCGTTTACAGTTACTTTTACAATAAAGTAAATAAGCCAGACTAGCAAGTTGATATACGTGACATATATGTAGTAACGTTATATAAAATATGATGAACGTGGAAAATTGTTTGATAGTAATAACTGGAATTCACTTAATCAGCGATCTGTGACAGAAAACGTCTACATTTATTAGGATGTATGCATATCTAGACGGCATGTTTCAAGTCGACTGAAAAACACATACTACATTCCACCACTAGCCAATAAAAAATGATATGAAAATGTGTTCGCCGGGCATTATAGCATTAAATCATCAGTACAAGCAGCCGACTATCATGTGACCTTAAGGACTTGATTTTTCTTATGGACCAAAAATGTAAAAAAAATGTAATCCCTCAATAGGTATATATAGTTTCAAACAAAACGCTACTAGTGAAGTTGGTGTGAATGCCAATGAAGCTAATTTCTACTGAGACAAAGTAGAATAAGTTTACGGCTGATAGCCGAATGCATAAATTACTACATGATGAGGAAAAGTATTACTGAAAAAACTGTCACAGAAAAACCTATTTTGCAATACTCCCTGGTTTTCTATTTTTTACAATTGATCGGTCATTGAGTAGTGACAATATCATGACTATATAGTCCTTTATTGATGACAGACCTCTGTAGATCAAGTTGCGATGTGGCTACTGGTTTATTTAGGTAGCTTGACATCACATGGAATACGTTAACGTATCAACTAGCATTAAATCTAGATTCAGAATCTCCTGCCAACAACTTCCAACCACCTAATATCTTGTTATTTAATTTGGCCTTTAGCTGGTTCTCATTGATAAAAAAGTATCAACTAAGAATAAATTTGTTAAGATAATGACATAAATTGAGAAAAAAGTTTATGTTCATAGGTAATCACTTACTTTGTATGGAGTTGACAAATTGAAGTGAATATAATTTGATTCTATCAAATTGAAATGAGATGCACGAGCATCCCATAACTTTATTGAACAGTTTGAATATTCTATGGATGTATTTTCACTGATAGAAATATGGGGATTAGTTGAACCATGGATGAAATGATTTAACTTTAAAAGGAGTGAAAATCAAGAAAAATCTCAACAGTATATGATGTTAGCATTACAATTTTATGAGAAATCAGTCAGTAGAACAAGACTTTAATATATGCAGTAAAAATAAAGGTAAAAGTGGAGGATTAGTTAAGCTTGTTTTTACTAACATTTGGTTTCCATAGAGCTGTCACTACAATTACTGAACAATTACAATTGACGTATGCAACACGGGATTGCTCTGTGCGAGTATGTGTTCCCAAATAACTGTTAGCAGCTAATATACTAATGAATTTATACGATGAACTCTTAGCACTGATATTTCGCAAAAGTATCGGCTAAACTTGATAATTTAGTGATGTTGAAAACATTAGTTAGCTGGTTGAAATTAGCTTTATACATGTTTAGTTAGTCTATTTCGAAAGAATTCTTTGTCAGATCAAAATATATCTGTAAAGTGATCAACTGCTTCTTTTTCGATATACTATAAAAGATTATAAGAATTCATGGTTTGAAGGGTTGGATAATACCCATTAAGAGATTTGTCGAGAACAGTTGCATGTAAAGCCATTTTGCCTCTAAAAAGAATGATTTTTTTTAAAAACAATGTTTTGTTGAAAATAATGTAACTAGTTTGTAGAAGGATTACAGGTAAGTGAATATTGACCTTCTATAAACTATCTAATTCAATAATATCTTAAACATTATGATAGCAAAAGCAGTCAATATCTAAATGAAAAGTGATATTATTACTAATTGAGATGATAACACTATTCAGTTTAAGCGTGTATTTGTAAGCGATTCCACTGTATAACCTAAGTGAATTACACTGCAGCATAGATTGAATACTATACATATATATAAAAGAAATTTTCAGCTCAGGTCACCATTCGGAAAATTTACGGACCAATATTATTATCCAAAGTTTTTTTCAATCTATTTCTACTAGAATCAACGTATAGCATCAAAGTAAATGGTGTACATTTTTAATCATAATAAAATATTCTAACTGGAAACAAATCTGCTTTTTGTCCAGTACTTTATTCATCGTCAATTCTATTACATTTCTGGCTTTGGAATACGAAAGATAAATGAAAAAAACTGAAAAATACTTACACTATTGACATATTTCGATTCCAAACTATGTTTAATTTCATTTAAGTGATTATGTATTTCCCTTTGAACACTGTCATAAAACCAATAAAAATATTAGTTTTAATGTTGTATAATTCCTATATATATGTATGTTTTATTAAATTATTCCAATTGATTTTTCAATGGATGGAGGAATAGATTAAAATCCATGGAAAATATCATCATATTCAGTCATATTCAAAAATTCCAAACAAGTTGAATATACTACCAAACGAAATAAAATAGAATCTATAGGTCAACGATTAGGTTGTATGATTGAGCTCTATGATATCTAATTTAATCTAGATAATTGAGTAGTTTTTGTACTGGAACCTCATACAAAATGTGTGGTTGATGGATGAACATAGAAAAGTTTAATAGTTTATTAAGATTCATTAAACTAATGGAATGGGAAAATTATGAAATTATAACTCTATTGTTACATAACGGTTATTTATTTAGGGATAGAAAATGTGTAGTTAAGACTATTCAGAAAATATATGAACAGTTTAAATAAATAATTATCATATTAACATGAAAAAATTAAAGGTTCTACCTGTAAGGGCACAAACATGAAATTCTGACGAGATAATCATAGATTTTCGGGTGAAAGGCTTAGTGAAACAAAGTAACATATTTTAGACGTCATGATGATGAAGATATAATATAAACCACGATGACGGTAAGAAGAAATATTTATATGTGAAAATCTAAAAAAACAGATCTAATTACAGTAAACCTTCAAATCGTTTTTTACTGTCTGAAATTGTTCATATTCAAGTGACTGAAAATGAAAAACAACCTAGATATATCATATTTTGGGGTAAAATTTAACTCATCTATGCTTTTCTTTACCCAGTTTTGGTGGGAAAAAAGAACAACTAAAAGTATATTCGTGAATGAAATAAACAACACCTACTTAGCCTGCAACTGATTATCAGGAAGTTGTAAAAGTGACTCAGATGTGTACACATTTCCAATATGAAAATTTTGATAAGAAACAACAGGATTATTGAGGTTACCCGGATGAACTAGCTGATCTGGTAGAAGAATTAGTCCAGGACAATCGTTGTAATGCCAAACTAATAGAATATATCTGAATAATAATGTACAAATAAATATACGAATCGTGTAAGATATTAGTCATATTCATTACTCTTAACAAAAAAGAAATATCACATACAACCTTCCTATTTCTCATTAACCAACCATGACATGATAATACTAAGTGGAATACAGGATCAGTTGTGAAAAAAAAATCAGAAAGGAATATTCCAATGATTTTCGCAGTCTACGGCATGTATGATAAAATAAATAGGTAATAGAACATCTATGAAAAATACACAGTTGATTGGCTATCTGAATTTAGTAGCTAAGTGGAAAACGTGTCCCGGAGTAAACATCAACTCCGGGACGCAAGTTCATTATTATTATTATTATTATTATTATTATTATTATTATTATTATTATTATTATTATTATTATTATTATTAGCTTTATCCAATATTATATTTTTGGTACAATATGGAATCCTTATCACATAGTATTTCAACAAGTTTCCGTTTATTTCTTGGTTGATCCAGTGCTAAAAGTATTCTTTGCCATTTTGAGAACCCGGAGCAGTTAACTCTGCTTTATAAGTAATTAGTACTGAGAACATATCTGGTTATTGGGCAACCAAGTAGAAATTTCTATAGCTAATTTTAAGTCTTACACTTTTTTGTAAGGGTTAATGATATTATTAGGTTGTTCAAACAAATGTAGGTGGACCAAGGTTCAAACCTGAAAATTAGTAATAAGTGGTCAGATGTCTAAACTACTCGGCTCGAGCACTCAAAATGAACCTGTGGAAACAACACCACAAAAGAAACAGGAGACGATAAACTGTTATCAAACTAATTCTCCACCAAAAAAACTCAATTATTGCACAGATATATTTACATTGTATACTTCCTTTTCCGGATTTTCTTATTATTCAACACATTTATTAATCGTTTTTTATTATTCCTTGATGATACCTATTCTGTTATTTTTCATTTCATCGACGTTTTGTCTTTGTTCTACCATAAATTAGGACAACTTGAAATGATGCGATTTCGGGTATAAAGTTCTACATTGGTGTATATGGCTTGTCTCAGTCAGTCAGTCAGTAACAACGTAGAACTTCGTACGTACGTACATCAGTTCGAGTTGCCATACCACATTAGCACAGAGATGCAGTGGTCGATTCAAATCCCGTAGTGGTAGAGGTAGTAAGAGTATAAGCAGTAATCGGAAACATTAGGGTTTGAAGATGTTATTCAAGGAATATAATACAGTGAGATAAATTTGGAAAGAAAATAAGGGACATGAAGAGTTCAGAAGATTAGAACTTGGGAGAACACAAAGAGTGTATGCACCTGCGCCATTGCAAACGATTTTGAGCCATGTCATTCACGGTCTCTAGCCATCGGTTGCTATCATCTCGTGGTCCCCAACCAGGTAGTCTACACCTACCAACATGGCTCAGTCCACTTGTCAGTGACTTCATGGACTTGTGCCATGTTTTGGTCTGGTCGCCCCTAGCTTTCTTCCAACCTAGTCCTATACCAGTGGCTTGCCTATTATATTTCTTATGACGCCTAATCTTTCCTATAAAATATCGTCCTCGACAATTATAACACACACTCTGCTGTTTCCAGTCATATTACTTAAAAGGTAAAAATTTTCATTTCAAGACACCTTTTAGCTTCAAAACATGTAAACATTATGCTGCGTAGCACAAAAAGGTAAATTTAAATGAAAACTGAATGCACTCAGTTATTAGTGCATTATTTCACCAACCTTAATTTCTTCAGTAACCAAAATCGATAGCAACCCAAGACTAAAAAACACTTCCTATTAAATATTTCTGTCAACATATTTTCGGAAGAATCCTGAAACGTTTGAATGACAGATGACTTTGGTTCTGCTAATCCCTTAATCCGAAATAAATACATCAAGAAATTTGAGAATATAGTTATATCACTTAAAAACGATTAAGTAGTATTTTAAAGTGCATATAATAAAACTCATTGGATTCAAATACATGATTGTACATCTTTGAATTAAAAAAAAATTGAAATCGAATCCACAGTGTTAATACTATTTGTATTAGTTTTTGACGTAAATTTAAAAGTTATTAATTTCTAAATGGTCTCAAAATATAATGCCGCCACTAAGTGGCATGAACTGCAGAACCATTAAAATTTTGAGAGCATGGAATAATTGTTTCATCTTAGTCTACAACTGTCAGGGAATGCTAGTCATCCAGACTCCTCAAATCTCATAATGAAAACGATACTTAAAATGACCCATTGTGTCAATAAATAAGAAAAGGAGTATCCAGAGAAGAAAATTTTCTTTTCGACGAGATCATTTACTTAAGCTGTACATTCGTATTTATAGTTATATGGAAAACATGTCTATAGAAGGATAGAAAAGATTGAATCATAAATTGATTTGAGACTTTTTACAGATTAAGTACCCAATGTTTCGAAATTCATATGTACAGACTAACCGCGATTCATTGTGATGGTACCCAATCGAAATCGTCAGTGATTAACTGTCTCAATTGTGGCTAAATTAATTTCATATATAATGATTTTCACAAGGGAGTCGTCCATGAAGATCAGTCCTATCTACGATTCGGCTGCATGAAGGATGAACAAGCAGGTACTCCGAAATGAACTAAATTCTGTTTACAAATAGTTTCAATATTTTCAAGTTCGATGCATTCTCAATTGATATTTAAAAACTGACGACTATTTTGGCTAAAATTTCTTAAAGCTTTGTGTAAGAATTATTATACAAATGGAATTCGAAGATGGTGGGGAAAAACCTAGTTAACTTGATATTCAGTTAAACAAAAATCCAAATCACTGTATTAAGTGATAACTGACAAAAACCAATTATAACAATAAAAACACTGGAGTGAAATAGACCAGTATAAACTTTTTAGAGGAAGAATTATTGGATGTATGTGCACGATGAGTATCCGTTACTTAACATTTCCAATCATAAGGAAAACATGAGACACAATCAACCATATTTCTTTATGTGGTTACATATAAGAAGTGCATCATATTACAATATTTTGAGAAGGGTGCATTATGTAAAGTTTACCTTCTACACAGAAATCATAACGAACTGCCTACTATATTGACTCAATTCTAATGTGTAGACAAATGCATACAAAGATAAATGTGGAACAATTCAGTAAGTTATTCAATAATTTGGATTTAAATAAATATGTAGCCCTAATATTCATGATTAGAAAAAAGAAAAAGTGATAGAGAGGAGAGAAATAATTATTAAAGTATATGTATGGGAATCTATGAATGACATAAACAATAGCGTGGGTCTTTTATATTATATATTATGGGAAAGTTCAAAACCACACACTAACGACAATAAACACTGTTTCAAACTACCTAATCAGAGAATAATACTAGCGAAAAACGTCTAATCAGCTTACTTTAAAACGTTTTGGACAATTCAAAACAATAAATGGATCACCTACACAGAAAATAAACAAAAGAGAAATAAAGTAGGTTATATGATGGAGTTTTAAGAGGAAAAAACATGAGTGCTAAGAAAGAAATTCTCATTTTATTAAAATAGAAATAAGTATAAACTCAACAAAAAATAAACTTTTCAATAAACTCCCATGTTCTACAGTTATAAATCTAAATTAATGTTTAAGATTACAAGATGATTTCACTCACTCTATGTGTTTTCTAGAGTTACTTATACTATTAATCTTTTACGAACAAATATGGACAGCGGCTAGCAGCGGAATTCAGGACGCACGTTTCGTCCCATTTGGGACTCGTTAGCTGGATGCACCCGCATTCCAGAATTGACGTTCACTATGGGACTCGGACCCATTGCTGTTCGCTTCAAACGTCATCGCGTTATCCACTTACCTACTGAGTCCTGTTAGCCGATTGCTTGTGCAGTGGCAATACGCACAGTATATACATATGCCAATAAAGGACTAATCAATTGTAGTTCTAAACATCAATGGGACGATTCAAGTAAATAATACCACGTGAACGTATACAAAATTGTTGCGCTTTGAAAAAGGCACAAACAACTGCTGTAATCATAAGTTTATGATTCAACAACTTATAAGTCACAGCAGAAGTAAAAACCTAGAAAATTCCAAGTCTATTTGACCATACTATGTAATAATGAATAAATACAGAGATATATACGAAGCTTTGAGCTGGAGAACAAAACCCCACCAAAATCATTCACTTGAGCTACAAATCTTCTCCACCATATCAATATATACGAAGCTTTGAGTATAAATATTTTAATGGAAGATCCACTAACATCATTCGGTTATCCAGACTGAATTAGGTGGATTTGAAGCTGTAAAACCTAATAGTCAAAATTTAAATGCTTTAACTATAGGGCCAGTGTTCAGATCATGGTATTTATTGGATATGAATTGAATCAATTAACTTAAGATTTGAAAAGTCCAACTTATATATGCCATAAGAGTGCTAATAAAGGACTTTGAATTAAAGGATATCCATTTTCGTTGCTAATTAGCAAGTAGATAGAGCCAACATTTATAGAATGACAAACAAATACAAACAACTTACATGATATTAAACATGAACAAGTAATTAGTTCAGGTTTATGAGGGATTATTTGGGAATCAGGAAAATCATTTTCTACATCACTTAAAACCTCATGTCTTAAACGTTCAACCCAGAAGAATGAATACATCACAGGCAAACTATTGAATTCATGAGAAGGATATGTTAACCTACCACCAGAAAGAAAACAAATAAACGCTCCCATAAATTACAATAGAAAGGCAAAATCAGAACTGAACTGTTAAAAAAGATCCATCTAGAAGGATGTAGATATCCTTAAAATAAAAAAGTATGATTATAAAGTCCTTTTACGTCTCTCATTATTAGTATAAAATACTATTATTTCCATACACCGAAAACTTATAAGTAAATAAATAACCGAATTATCATAGATTATGTTTCGATTCTGTAACTGGTACCAAGCAACATAATGTATGGCTTACCGATTATAAATATGGTCATGTCTCCTGCAGCATTTATTTCTCTATACAACTGTCACGGATCCCAAAGATCTGGTAATAACTCCAAGGACAACTGCGATACCATAAAAACTAGCGCTGCTAACTTCAAGTTCCCTAGCAACTCAAAAAGATCAATCTTATTGAACGAGACTAAAGCCATTTCAAATATATATTGATTCAGTTATTATTAATTATACAGTTCTATTTACTGGGTAATTGCAACTGAACACAAAATCATAGTGAAATAATCAGCACAAAGAAAATGCATTAAGTACCAAATAACTAAATACAACTGCCATAAGCTGGAAGTCAATTAATAGCATTTACGAAAATGAGCTTAAATTGACTGAGCGAAAATCACCTTAAGTTGATATGCGACAATACTACTGATTTTCTTTCATTTAAGAATACAGTACCTCCAACAATGACCATAATTTATTTAGATGAATGATACAGAATGATCTAGGGTTTGAAGTTATCCACAAAACACGGAAACTTTGACTCAATTCTTAAAATGTAAAAATATACATCGACCTAGATGAATGTCTAAATGTAGGCAGAGAAACGAGTAAGAAGTTTTATTATAAACTGATTTATGATCCCGTTCGATCTTGACATTTGCTGGAAATTATATAACTACAGATTTTAATCGTTATCGTGTACATGAACTTCATTGTCTACATTCGAAATCAATGCCGTCACATGTCAAAATGCGGTCAGAACAACAAATCTATGTGAATTTCACCAATCTTATGAAGTGGTATTTCATACTGGCTTCCAGCCTTTTGAAGGGGTTTTGAAATTTGGATGGTACAAATTTATTTCATGGTGGTCACTGGCATCTAAGATGATCACTCCTTTTTTATTCAGTCTATCTGTCTTATCACTTCAAAATTAAGATAAAATCTTTATTTTTAATATAAATTTATGGGGAAGTCAGTATGATGAAAATCAAACTTTTTTGGAAAATATAAATAAAATCAATTTATCGAAATTAACTATACAGTAGAATAACCTACCATGGACTAAATACCATAACAAGATCGCCACATTTTAAATCATTGCCTAAAACGAAATTTGTTGCAGCGGATGAAAACAACTCTTCTGTAACAAAAGGGACACCAGAAATAGGTAGAAGGAGGATCGCGAATTTGTTTGATACATTTTCATTAGCATTAGATATTTCAGTTTTATTTTCTAAAGGTATTACAACTTCACGCACACCGAATGCTACTAATCCAGGCAAACTATCTGAATAATTACGAAATACTCTAAGAACTTGAAAAGTTTTCGAAGCATGCTTAGTAGAATCTATAAGAAAATATATATGATAAATTTTATGAAAAATTCGAAAAGAGAGCAGAATTAATTGTTAAAATCGAATTTCCCTAAATTAATTTCTAAAGTGAGCAATTATACGTAAACTCGTGTCACCTTGCTGAATTCATGATGAGCCCAATGAATAGTGCTAACGACATACATATGACTACTTATTTCGTACATACGTTCATGAAAAGTTAGATGAAGTCGAGTATGAGTATTTTGGGGACGTATATTTCATATATGTGAATATTAGGCAGTAGAAAACCGTAAGAAACGCAGGCAGATATGTACAGCGTCGGAGTTCCGTAGTACAGCGAATTCGAGAAAATTAAGAGTGACTCTAGCTTACAAACGGTGTAAAAAATACAAGTAGATATATATATGTATAAGGAAACAATCGAGGTTAAAATTGAATAATTAACGAACCAATCTGTACAGAATAATTAGTAACATCAAAATAATTAGGCTACCTAGAAACAGAATAAACTCATGTGGGGTTATAACAGGCAAACCAATACAAACGCTTTAGAAAGGGCTTAAATGACTATACGAAGTAACAATGAAGTCAATGGTAAGGACAAAATATGAGAAAAAAAGAAAGGATGTAATATTCTTAAGAAACAACCAAAGGTTACTCGAATGTCATACAATAATTTGTGGTTAATTGATGAGAAATGATTCTCCGGTAATCATATCATCAATCAACAGAATCATTTTACATTAAAGTGTAAAAATTTCAAGCTGGAAAGTCTTACTGAATAAAGCTGCAGTTACAGTTCATAAATACATTATTTAAACACTAAGTGAGAAAGGTTCATTACATTCAATTCTAAATATGTGGTTTGTGGACGTTTGGCAGAAATTTTGAGTTAGAAGGTAGAGCAAAATAACAGAGACCTCGAATGCCACATATCTCCAACATGATTGACCAAGCCAGTGAAATGATGTTGGCATATTAGTAAGTATCGGCCTCAATAATTGTTGAGACAATACAGATGCTCAGATAAGGTGCCAGGTTCATATAGAATTTTTGATTGAGATCATGAACCGGTTGATGTTAGACCATCACAATTGAAAACCTGGAAGCACTGGACGGCCGTTCCGTCCTATTGTGGGACTCCTCAGCAGTGCGCATCCACGATCCCGCGAGCGGGATTCGAACCCAGGGCCCTCCGTCTCGCGCGCGGACGCTTAACCAACTGGACCACTGAGCCGGCATCCAATGGTGACAGTTTCTAACATTAACCAATCCACGAAATTGCGCGACCAACTTCCGTTGTACTGAGGTAGATACCCGACAAGGATTAGCTCCACTGGTCACGGCTTCTCACTAGAACTCCGAGAATTCCCTCACGAAGCTAGTCACTAGTGAGCACATGTTGATTACTAGTATAGGGGTTGTGGAATTGCTAGCAGTGGAACCCAGGAAGCGCGTCTTGTCCTATTTTGTAATTGTCGACTGCATGTACTTGCATCTCAGAATGCCAGGTTCATACTTTATGCAACTTACTAACCAAATGGTTTAGAGCTACAATCGCATGATATGTCAAGAACTAAACAAGTTAAGATTAAAACTGGGAGGAACTGACCAAATATCTTGTGAGTTACTTATTAAATCAATGGACCATTAAGTTTAAAACCTGTGAGATACTGCAATGAAAACAACATCTGGGTGACCAATCTAAAAACGGAATGGAAAAGATGGAAACAATTGTGCAGCAGCATTTTTAGCCAAATCATACTAGTTATTAAGGAGGGGGAAGATTAGTTGCTGATAATGAAAAATCGTTGCCCTAGTTAGACCACTCAAGGAAGTGTTTTGGGGCCGCACTGTAAACCCTAATCACCTATAAGATAATCGAATACTCAACACAAAATTGTACCATGACTAGGTGTGCTGAGAGAAGAAAGGATGGGAAACAAACCAAGTAACTGTCTTTTTACTTGACACATTATCCAATCAAAAGACTAAAAATACGAAAGGATAACTGACAAACTTGGGATTTGTATATACAAATAATCAAGGCACTATGCTAAGACTTGCTATAGATACCAAATTTGTTTTAAAACCTTAAAACGGATTTTAAAAAGTATAGACTTTTGCTCGATGAATATTCGTACACCTACTGAGAGGTATTTCAGAGTCTCAAACTTGGAATTTTCAGAAAGTTACAAAAGCTGCGAGCATTCTATTGTGAAAATATTAAATAACCATGACTCATATTTCATTTTCTCCTTGGTTAAATTAAACCAACCCTTTACGACTTCATAATTTGATAAGTATAATAAACCATGCATAGAAATTACCAAGGATATTTTGAGTTGAACGTTGATGCAACCAGATAGAACGTTCTGAAGAGTTACGTTTGACCAAATAGTGGAGTTTTCGCAATATACTATTCCTAAACACAAACCATATCAAAACTGTTAGTATATTAAAATATACTTTCGTAACATAATAATAGAAAGTAATTGGAAAATGGTGGTAAACGATAACAATACCCAACGGCCATCATTATTAAATTATTGTAAATATAAGGCAGTGAAACATAGCCGGCAAGGGTAGAGGATATTTGTACGTTACTTGTATTTGATCATAGGTGCCTTCTAAACATTGCTCGTATATCCTGGAACCACCGAGTAAGTAACGCGGTTGTTAGGAAACGGGTACTAGGCAGGGATGGCAAATCCATTGATGAAGTAGTAAAACTTCATCAGTTGAGATGGCTGGGACACGTGTTACGTATGCCCAACGACCGACTACCTTGACGTGCTATGTTCAGTGGTATAAGAGTAAGTTGGAAGAAAGCTAGAGGCGGCCAAACCAAAAACATGGCACAAGTCCATGAAGTCACTGACAAGTGGACTGAGCCATGTTGGTAGGTGTAGACTACCTGGTTGGGGACCGCAAGATGATAGCAACCGATGGCTAGAGACCCTGAATGACATGGCTCAAAATCATTTGCAATGGCGCAAGTTTTGGTGGAGTTTTGTTCTCTGAGCTGGATGGTTTGGTCGTGGAGCTTTCATCGTTCTTCTGAACGACATCATCCACTATCTCAATGGTGAAAGTGCATCCACGTTTTGTGCTCTCCCAAATTCTAATCTCCTGATTCCTCCTTGTCACTTTTTTCTCTTCCCAAATTTATTTCACTGTATTATACTCCTTGAATAACATCTTCGAACCTTAGTGTTTTCGACTACTGCTTATACTCTTACTACCTCTACCACTATGGGGTTTGAATCGACAACTGCATCTCTGTGCTAATGTGGTATGGCAACTCGAACTGATGCACGTACGTACGAAGTTCTACGTTGTTACTGACTGACTGACTGATTATAAATATAATATAAGTAAAAATAAAAGTAAAACTATTCACTACAAATTAGCATTCTACTAAAACTACTTAATAGCACATTTTCTATTAATGACATTAAATACTGTTCGTTAACCTAACGGATGTTTTGATATAAGAATCAATTTTAGTAGAGGATATCTCATACTAGCGAGTATTACAGCAATAGAAAAACTAAAAAATTATGATATTTCGATAATTGTAAAAATTTGACTGAAATGAAGAAACAATATTCTTTAGATAACTTTATAAATGTATTCATTTTATACATTCGGATGCATGCATTCGTTGATTTTTGAGAAAATTCAACCCCTAAAGTAACGAAAAAATCTTTACTCCAGAAGCTTCAAAGCTTTTAAGATATTTACACTCTGGTTTTATCATACTAGCTTGATTATTGCCGTCAGGCTAACAAAAATGACTAGACTCACATTTCTAAGCGGATAAATAAGCTGATATACTTTTATATCTTAGATGTCAATAGAAACTGTTGACAATGTACAATCCTCATCTTATCTCTGAATATCAACAAAGCACTAAATGTATCCTTAAATTTTGACCACTATTACTTTAGAAACTGTAACACACACCCCCTGGTGGCGACCAACGTTGTCAATAACTCTTCAAAAAATCAATTTAAGTACGACACAAGTATGTTACTGACAAATAGTCATTTTCAAATAGATGCACAATGTAAATGCAATACGTACGAAGATATTCGACGAGGAAGAGATTTGACAGTCAGATTTGTATAAGGGAGCTCTGAACAATCTCGTTGCAACTCAGTAAGATAACATAAGGAATCAAAGTTAGATTCATCGAGATTTGTGAATTCATTCTGATTGACAACTTCAGTCACAGAACTTGGCTGAGAATACTCACAAATTACAGCATTTTCATTTTGAGAGGAAACTGAAGACGAACAGTTACCGGAAATCAAATTCTGGATCTGCTGGAACTCATTCGGTGACTGGAATAAGAAACAAAAATAATCAATGAACATTGACTTGAGATTTTTAGGTAAAAACTAAATACATGAAATATCTGTATGTTCACACTACTTCAAACAAAACGCACAGATGACATTTTCAAAAATGTAATATACATGCAATTAAAATTCTTTTTATGTCTCGTGGTTCCAAAAACATTAAGCTGATTACTTTGGACTGCTCACACGCATATTACAATACATCCAATATGTTAAGTTGGTCAAGCAAAATGTCGATAGTTGCAAACATGGTGCAAGCTAACTAAATGTATACACACTTAGCAGAAAACTACAACCTCGACAAAGTAAGGACATTCACTTGTCATCATACCGACCGGAATACTTGTGTCATAAATCCTTACTTTGTTAAAAAGGTTTACTAAAGAGCAGAAAAACGAAGTGTGAATTGCTGCAGAGTGAATAGCTGCAACATGACTTCTTGTCGTTTATCTGGATCTATGGTGTCGGTAGGTTTAATAAACAGATGTAACTTTGCAAAGGCTAATGCCATTAGAAAGAATATGTTTGACTGATTTTAAATCTCTTCTAATATCCAAATTGTAAAGTCAATTTCGGACATTTGATGAAAATTTTAGTTGTCAGTCAATAGACAGATCGACAAAGATTCAATCTATCAGACCATGCGAAAAAAGATGAATCAACTAAATGATCTAACAATGACGGCTGAAAAGGCTGCAAGAGAAGGAAACATGAGACAATTGTACGATACAACAAAGAAACTCGCTGGAAATCGCCGCAAACCAGAACGACCAGTGAAAAGCAAGGAAGGCAAAGTAATCACCAACATTGAAGAACAACGAAACAGGTGGGTAGAACACTTCAAAGAACTCATGAAACAACCAGCCCCATTGAACCCACCCAAAATCGAAGCAGCACCCACGGACCTCCCAATCAATGTTGGCCCACCAACAATTGAAGAAATCAGCATGGCCATCAGACAAATCAAGAGTGGAAAAGCGGCAGGACCAGAAAACATTCCAGCAGAGGCACTCAAAGCAGACGTAGCGGTAACTGCAAGGATACCCCACATTCTCTTCAATAGGATTTGGGATGAGGAACAAGTACCAACAGACTGGAAAGGACTTCTGGTCAAAATACCAAAGAAAGGCGATCTCAGAAACTGTGATAACTACAGGGGCATCACTCTTCTCTTAATACCGGGAAAAGTCTTCAACAGAGTATTGTTAAACATGATAAAGGAATCCGTAGACCCCAACTTCGAGACCAACAGGCAGGATTCCGTAAGGATCGGTCGTGTACAGACCAAATCACAACACTACGAATCATTGTGGAACAATCAATTGAATGGAATTCATCACTCTACATCAACTTCATTGACTACGAGAAGGCATTTGATTTTGTAGATAGGACAACACTATGGAGGCTTCTCTTCAACACTACAGCGTGCCTACGAAATTGTGAATATCATACGGAATTCCTATGATGGATTAAACCGCAAAATCGTGCATTGAAGACAATTAACAGACTTGTTCAAGGTAAAGACCGGTGTCAGGCAAGGCTGCTTACTCTCACCCCTTCTCTTTCTCCTGCTGATCGACTGAATCATAAAAACGTCAACATCTGAGGGGAAGCATGGGATAAAGTGGACAACTAGAATGCAGCTGGACGATCTAGACTTCGCAGATGATCTGGCTCTTCTATCGCACACGCAACAACAAATGCAGAAGGCGACCAGTGTAGCAACAGCGGTAGGTCTCAATATTCACAAAGGGAAAAGCAAGATTCTCAGATACAACACAGCATGCAACAATCGAATCATACTTGACGGAGAAGCTTTGAAAGATGTAAAAGCCCTTACATATCTGGGCAGCATCATTGATGAACAAAGTGGATCTGATGCAGATGTAAAAACGCGGATCGGCAAACCAAGAGCAGCATATCTACAACTGAAGAACATCTGGAACTCAAAACAACTGTCAACTGACACCAAAGTCAGAATTCTCAATACAAATGTCAAAACAGTTCTACTATATGGGGCGGAAACTTGGAGAACTACGAAAGCCATCATCCAGAAGATACAAGTGTTGATTAATAGTTGTCTACGCAGTCAGTCAGTTAGTAACAACGTAGAACTTCGTACGTACGTACATCAGTTCGAGTTGCCATACCACATTAGCACAGAGATGCAGTTGTCGATTCAAACCCCATAGTGGTAGAGGTAGTAAGAGTATAAGCAGTAGTCGAAAACACTAAGGTTCGAAGATGTTATTCAAGGAGTATAATACAGTGAAATAAATTTGGGAAGAGAAAAAAGTGACAAGGAGGAATCAGGAGATTAGAATTTGGGAGAGCACAAAACGTGGATGCACTTGCGCCATTGCAAATGATTTTGAGCCATGTCATTCAGGGTCTCTAGCCATCGGTTGCTATCATCTTGCGGTCCCCAACCAGGTAGTCTACACCTACCAACATGACTCAGTCCGCTTGTCTACGCAAAAGACTTCGGATCTGTTGGCCAGACACTATCAGGAACAATCTACTGTGGGAGAGAACAAACCAAATCCCAGCGGAGGAAGAAATCAGAAAGAAGCGCTGGAAATGGTTAGGACACACATTGGGGAGAGAACCCAATTGCGTCACAAGGCAAGCTCTCACATGGGATCCTCAAGGCCAAAGGAGAAGAGGAAGACCAAAGAACACATTACACCGAAAAATGGAGACAAGCATGAGAAGAATGAACAACGATTGGGCGGTAATAAAAAAGAAGGACAGAGTGGGATAGAGAATGCTGGTCAGCGGCCAACAGGTGTAAGTAAATAAGAGGCAAGTAATTTTAAGTCTTTAAAAAACCACGCGTTATAGCTGTAAGATAGTGTACCCGGAATGTTATCTGGTATACTCAACCTTTGGTAACCGAATCGACACTATACTTACTCTGATAGGTAGTATAAGTTAGTGATAATATTTCTTACATGTTAACACTGTCAAACAGCACAAAAACCAGGCCCTATATGTCTTACAGATTTTCATTCGCGTACATTCCTCACAAGATAGTATCTCAAGACGTTTTGTGTGAGGAAAGGAAACACCAAAAGCATAAAACAAATCACTCAATACCTCAGCGCTGTCTTAAGACAATCTCTATTCCTAACCTTTTAACTACAACAATCGATTAATTTTCCTTATTATGAGCCTAAAAGGATGATCATTTTATACATTTCAATATCGGCTGTGTAGTATATGAATACTGCTGGACGTTTTATGGAAACAAAAATACAGTTAGGATGTACAACTGATTAACTTTCATGGAAAGATTAAAAATGAATAGGCAAACTTCACTAACAAGGGGTTCATCTAAATTTTCGATGCTTAATAATTGATGGCCTAACTCAAAGGTCTCTCCCTCTGGCGATGACGTCGGCGAAATATTTATGCAACTTTCATCTTCTTGACTTTTTGTATTGATTACGATCCTCGAATCGGGTGCAACACGGCTGAATGACCGTTTAGATCGTAAACTATTTGTAGGACCGAAAGAACAGATCCAAGATGAAGAGTCATTAATTGAAACACTAAAAATTATTAAAAGAGAAGCGCTACCTCTTACGCGGAACACAAATACGTTTTGGTAACCAATCTTTCTTCGTGGACATTTTTGTTTAACATAAAATGGTTAGCTGAAAGAAAATAGGGATATTTGAGAACTTAAGTGCTGCATTCACCACATTTAAAAATCACTGGTTTAAGAAACAAATACTTCTCAGTATTCAGCTTGTCGATTAGAACAATTAAAATCTCAATAAATGTATTTTTAGAAGCACCGAATCATAAATTTGAAAATGTTATACCTAATCTGTAGTGAGTATAAATGGTGGTGCCGACTGGATGTCATGAAAGATGGCGACTCCATCTCAGTGATTAGGTTTACTGAAACAATAGCTACAGTCTAGGAGCTGAAAGTAATCTCATTCGACAGGTCTTGATGACTAATCGTTCCAGTTTATAACAAAAGACAAACATCCTGTGATAATCATAAAGAAATCCGTTTGATTAATATAGTCTAGGAAGTAAGCCTCAAAAATTGTGCTGCTTAAATGAGGTTCGCGATTAGGAAACCAAGGTTAGTTTCAGATATGTCTGGTTTTGGAATATATCTAAAATTACTGATTTCCAATAACAGAGGCAATATCCAACTCCGTAGACTAAGAGGTTCATTGGCAATTTGTCATCACAATGTATGCTAACGAAAACTTTGAGGAAATCCCGAAACGTTTCTAAACTAGAAAAACATGTCAAGTTCTTACTGGAAAGATGCTCTTTTTCGTACTACTCGTAATTTAAATCTCGTCGTTTCGCAGTCCTAATTCCCTTAGAAAACTAGTCGTCTACCAGTCACCATAAGAAAATCTGCTTGTTGCAGATCCCGCTACATAATGCTATTAACATACTTGAGTTAAAATGTCGTTTGACGATAAACAAATGAGTCAACGGTTCTTGAAAGGTAATATACGGATTCACAATTAACATAAAATGGTTAGCTGAAAGAAAATAGGGATATTTGAGAACTTAAGTGCTGCATTCACCACATTTAAAAATCACTGGTTTAAGAAACAAATACTTCTCAGTATTCAGCTTGTCGATTAGAACAATTAAAATCTCAATAAATGTATTTTTAGAAGCACCGAATCATAAATTTGAAAATGTTATACCTAATCTGTAGTGAGTATAAATGGTGGTGCCGACTGGATGTCATGAAAGATGGCGACTCCATCTCAGTGATTAGGTTTACTGAAACAATAGCTACAGTCTAGGAGCTGAAAGTAATCTCATTCGACAGGTCTTGATGACTAATCGTTCCAGTTTATAACAAAAGACAAACATCCTGTGATAATCATAAAGAAATCCGTTTGATTAATATAGTCTAGGAAGTAAGCCTCAAAAATTGTGCTGCTTAAATGAGGTTCGCGATTAGGAAACCAAGGTTAGTTTCAGATATGTCTGGTTTTGGAATATATCTAAAATTACTGATTTCCAATAACAGAGGCAATATCCAACTCCGTAGACTAAGAGGTTCATTGGCAATTTGTCATCACAATGTATGCTAACGAAAACTTTGAGGAAATCCCGAAACGTTTCTAAACTAGAAAAACATGTCAAGTTCTTACTGGAAAGATGCTCTTTTTCGTACTACTCGTAATTTAAATCTCGTCGTTTCGCAGTCCTAATTCCCTTAGAAAACTAGTCGTCTACCAGTCACCATAAGAAAATCTGCTTGTTGCAGATCCCGCTACATAATGCTATTAACATACTTGAGTTAAAATGTCGTTTGACGATAAACAAATGAGTCAACGGTTCTTGAAAGGTAATATACGGATTCACAATTAACATAAAATGGTTAGCTGAAAGAAAATAGGGATATTTGAGAACTTAAGTGCTGCATTCACCACATTTAAAAATCACTGGTTTAAGAAACAAATACTTCTCAGTATTCAGCTTGTCGATTAGAACAATTAAAATCTCAATAAATGTATTTTTAGAAGCACCGAATCATAAATTTGAAAATGTTATACCTAATCTGTAGTGAGTATAAATGGTGGTGCCGACTGGATGTCATGAAAGATGGCGACTCCATCTCAGTGATTAGGTTTACTGAAACAATAGCTACAGTCTAGGAGCTGAAAGTAATCTCATTCGACAGGTCTTGATGACTAATCGTTCCAGTTTATAACAAAAGACAAACATCCTGTGATAATCATAAAGAAATCCGTTTGATTAATATAGTCTAGGAAGTAAGCCTCAAAAATTGTGCTGCTTAAATGAGGTTCGCGATTAGGAAACCAAGGTTAGTTTCAGATATGTCTGGTTTTGGAATATATCTAAAATTACTGATTTCCAATAACAGAGGCAATATCCAACTCCGTAGACTAAGAGGTTCATTGGCAATTTGTCATCACAATGTATGCTAACGAAAACTTTGAGGAAATCCCGAAACGTTTCTAAACTAGAAAAACATGTCAAGTTCTTACTGGAAAGATGCTCTTTTTCGTACTACTCGTAATTTAAATCTCGTCGTTTCGCAGTCCTAATTCCCTTAGAAAACTAGTCGTCTACCAGTCACCATAAGAAAATCTGCTTGTTGCAGATCCCGCTACATAATGCTATTAACATACTTGAGTTAAAATGTCGTTTGACGATAAACAAATGAGTCAACGGTTCTTGAAAGGTAATATACGGATTCACAATTAACATAAAATGGTTAGCTGAAAGAAAATAGGGATATTTGAGAACTTAAGTGCTGCATTCACCACATTTAAAAATCACTGGTTTAAGAAACAAATACTTCTCAGTATTCAGCTTGTCGATTAGAACAATTAAAATCTCAATAAATGTATTTTTAGAAGCACCGAATCATAAATTTGAAAATGTTATACCTAATCTGTAGTGAGTATAAATGGTGGTGCCGACTGGATGTCATGAAAGATGGCGACTCCATCTCAGTGATTAGGTTTACTGAAACAATAGCTACAGTCTAGGAGCTGAAAGTAATCTCATTCGACAGGTCTTGATGACTAATCGTTCCAGTTTATAACAAAAGACAAACATCCTGTGATAATCATAAAGAAATCCGTTTGATTAATATAGTCTAGGAAGTAAGCCTCAAAAATTGTGCTGCTTAAATGAGGTTCGCGATTAGGAAACCAAGGTTAGTTTCAGATATGTCTGGTTTTGGAATATATCTAAAATTACTGATTTCCAATAACAGAGGCAATATCCAACTCCGTAGACTAAGAGGTTCATTGGCAATTTGTCATCACAATGTATGCTAACGAAAACTTTGAGGAAATCCCGAAACGTTTCTAAACTAGAAAAACATGTCAAGTTCTTACTGGAAAGATGCTCTTTTTCGTACTACTCGTAATTTAAATCTCGTCGTTTCGCAGTCCTAATTCCCTTAGAAAACTAGTCGTCTACCAGTCACCATAAGAAAATCTGCTTGTTGCAGATCCCGCTACATAATGCTATTAACATACTTGAGTTAAAATGTCGTTTGACGATAAACAAATGAGTCAACGGTTCTTGAAAGGTAATATACGGATTCACAATTAACATAAAATGGTTAGCTGAAAGAAAATAGGGATATTTGAGAACTTAAGTGCTGCATTCACCACATTTAAAAATCACTGGTTTAAGAAACAAATACTTCTCAGTATTCAGCTTGTCGATTAGAACAATTAAAATCTCAATAAATGTATTTTTAGAAGCACCGAATCATAAATTTGAAAATGTTATACCTAATCTGTAGTGAGTATAAATGGTGGTGCCGACTGGATGTCATGAAAGATGGCGACTCCATCTCAGTGATTAGGTTTACTGAAACAATAGCTACAGTCTAGGAGCTGAAAGTAATCTCATTCGACAGGTCTTGATGACTAATCGTTCCAGTTTATAACAAAAGACAAACATCCTGTGATAATCATAAAGAAATCCGTTTGATTAATATAGTCTAGGAAGTAAGCCTCAAAAATTGTGCTGCTTAAATGAGGTTCGCGATTAGGAAACCAAGGTTAGTTTCAGATATGTCTGGTTTTGGAATATATCTAAAATTACTGATTTCCAATAACAGAGGCAATATCCAACTCCGTAGACTAAGAGGTTCATTGGCAATTTGTCATCACAATGTATGCTAACGAAAACTTTGAGGAAATCCCGAAACGTTTCTAAACTAGAAAAACATGTCAAGTTCTTACTGGAAAGATGCTCTTTTTCGTACTACTCGTAATTTAAATCTCGTCGTTTCGCAGTCCTAATTCCCTTAGAAAACTAGTCGTCTACCAGTCACCATAAGAAAATCTGCTTGTTGCAGATCCCGCTACATAATGCTATTAACATACTTGAGTTAAAATGTCGTTTGACGATAAACAAATGAGTCAACGGTTCTTGAAAGGTAATATACGGATTCACAATTAACATAAAATGGTTAGCTGAAAGAAAATAGGGATATTTGAGAACTTAAGTGCTGCATTCACCACATTTAAAAATCACTGGTTTAAGAAACAAATACTTCTCAGTATTCAGCTTGTCGATTAGAACAATTAAAATCTCAATAAATGTATTTTTAGAAGCACCGAATCATAAATTTGAAAATGTTATACCTAATCTGTAGTGAGTATAAATGGTGGTGCCGACTGGATGTCATGAAAGATGGCGACTCCATCTCAGTGATTAGGTTTACTGAAACAATAGCTACAGTCTAGGAGCTGAAAGTAATCTCATTCGACAGGTCTTGATGACTAATCGTTCCAGTTTATAACAAAAGACAAACATCCTGTGATAATCATAAAGAAATCCGTTTGATTAATATAGTCTAGGAAGTAAGCCTCAAAAATTGTGCTGCTTAAATGAGGTTCGCGATTAGGAAACCAAGGTTAGTTTCAGATATGTCTGGTTTTGGAATATATCTAAAATTACTGATTTCCAATAACAGAGGCAATATCCAACTCCGTAGACTAAGAGGTTCATTGGCAATTTGTCATCACAATGTATGCTAACGAAAACTTTGAGGAAATCCCGAAACGTTTCTAAACTAGAAAAACATGTCAAGTTCTTACTGGAAAGATGCTCTTTTTCGTACTACTCGTAATTTAAATCTCGTCGTTTCGCAGTCCTAATTCCCTTAGAAAACTAGTCGTCTACCAGTCACCATAAGAAAATCTGCTTGTTGCAGATCCCGCTACATAATGCTATTAACATACTTGAGTTAAAATGTCGTTTGACGATAAACAAATGAGTCAACGGTTCTTGAAAGGTAATATACGGATTCACAATTAACATAAAATGGTTAGCTGAAAGAAAATAGGGATATTTGAGAACTTAAGTGCTGCATTCACCACATTTAAAAATCACTGGTTTAAGAAACAAATACTTCTCAGTATTCAGCTTGTCGATTAGAACAATTAAAATCTCAATAAATGTATTTTTAGAAGCACCGAATCATAAATTTGAAAATGTTATACCTAATCTGTAGTGAGTATAAATGGTGGTGCCGACTGGATGTCATGAAAGATGGCGACTCCATCTCAGTGATTAGGTTTACTGAAACAATAGCTACAGTCTAGGAGCTGAAAGTAATCTCATTCGACAGGTCTTGATGACTAATCGTTCCAGTTTATAACAAAAGACAAACATCCTGTGATAATCATAAAGAAATCCGTTTGATTAATATAGTCTAGGAAGTAAGCCTCAAAAATTGTGCTGCTTAAATGAGGTTCGCGATTAGGAAACCAAGGTTAGTTTCAGATATGTCTGGTTTTGGAATATATCTAAAATTACTGATTTCCAATAACAGAGGCAATATCCAACTCCGTAGACTAAGAGGTTCATTGGCAATTTGTCATCACAATGTATGCTAACGAAAACTTTGAGGAAATCCCGAAACGTTTCTAAACTAGAAAAACATGTCAAGTTCTTACTGGAAAGATGCTCTTTTTCGTACTACTCGTAATTTAAATCTCGTCGTTTCGCAGTCCTAATTCCCTTAGAAAACTAGTCGTCTACCAGTCACCATAAGAAAATCTGCTTGTTGCAGATCCCGCTACATAATGCTATTAACATACTTGAGTTAAAATGTCGTTTGACGATAAACAAATGAGTCAACGGTTCTTGAAAGGTAATATACGGATTCACAATTAACATAAAATGGTTAGCTGAAAGAAAATAGGGATATTTGAGAACTTAAGTGCTGCATTCACCACATTTAAAAATCACTGGTTTAAGAAACAAATACTTCTCAGTATTCAGCTTGTCGATTAGAACAATTAAAATCTCAATAAATGTATTTTTAGAAGCACCGAATCATAAATTTGAAAATGTTATACCTAATCTGTAGTGAGTATAAATGGTGGTGCCGACTGGATGTCATGAAAGATGGCGACTCCATCTCAGTGATTAGGTTTACTGAAACAATAGCTACAGTCTAGGAGCTGAAAGTAATCTCATTCGAC